CTCCCTCCCGGAGCCGAGCTGGGCCACGCCGCCTGTCGGGGAATCATTTCCATTGCCCTCAGTAAAGCCCAGGGGCCCCCGCGCAACTCGGCTCCGGGGCAGTAATTTGGCGCACCGGCACAGGCCCTGAATTGCCGATTTGTGTCGGGGAACGTGCTGAGGCTGGGCTCGGCTTCTCCGGTTTCAGACCCGACCTGTGCCCCAGCCTGTAGCGCTGCTGCAGCACCGCCCGGTGGCAGAGTCCTCTGCAGGAATATTTTTGAAACGTCCCGGGGCCCCCGCGCAACTCGGCTCCGGGGCAGTAATTTGGCGCACCGGCACAGGCCCTGAATTGCCGATTTGTGTCGGGGAACGTGCTGAGGCTGGGCTCGGCTTCTCCGGTTTCAGACCCGACCTGTGCCCCAGCCTGTAGCGCTGCTGCAGCACCGCCCGGTGGCAGAGTCCTCTGCAGGAATATTTTTGAAACGTCCCCGTCTTTTCCTCGAAGATCTTTTGTTATTCCCGGCGCCGAGGCTGGCGTTTCGCTAGTCGCAACCAGCTCAGACCCTCCAGGGAAGCAGCCTTTCCCGTGACTGTTCTTGCCAAACAGTCTGGTTACCTTCCTGCGAGCACCTTTCTTTTCTGAGGTAGCCAAAACCAAAACGTGAACCTCAGAAAACCTCTTAATCATAATAACACTGGAGAACTACATCTGTTGACTTGAGGGGTCTCACATGGAGTCATCGTCCTGTGGCTGTGATCTTCTCACCATTAGCATTCTATACTTAAAAGGTTTCCTCTGGTTTTGCGGTGTTTTAGCTCGTTATGAACTAACAACAGAAAAGGAAAAAAAAAAACCAAAAAATTGAAGGTTAAAAAAAAAGGTAAAACTTTCTGTTACTTTGTAGTGCTCAGTGCTATTTGAACACATAAGAGCTATGTATAACACCTCCCAGAAATGATACAAGGTAAGTTGTGATTTTGTTTTATAGTGGTTTTTATGATACAATCTGCAGTTCCTTTTAAGTCCCTGGCATATGACTAGCACATCCATGACAGACAATCAAAGACAGCATGCCTATCAGTACGCCTAAAGTTTGTATAAAAAGCTTAATTGCTGGGAATGTTTAGGGTTCTGCAGATCAAAAAAGTGTGGAGAAACCCGTGTAGTATGGATGAGTGAAGTCTCCATATTTATATTGTGTAGCTGTAATTACAGCAGAGTTTAGGTGTCACATGATTAAAAATGGAAGTCCTGTTCATTCTGCTGGGCGTTTTTTTGTTCTTTTTTTTCCCCTTAATACCTGTTTCCCACAATCACTTTTCCTAGTGGCTGCTCCTAACCCTTTATCTGTAAGACTGCAGTGTCCTTACAGCCCTCCTGCTGCAGGTCAGAGCGTTTCTTTTGCTAATACTATGTTCCCATCCCCGTGATGCTCATCTGAAATCTATGTTTCTCAGCACACTGAGTAGTAGTATGGCAGTTCTTGGTGGCTTCTGGGATAAAAAGCCACAACCTCAAGCAGCCTCAAGTACAAAGCTTGTTGAGAACGTGGACCCATTTGTTAGTGCAGGTGTGCACAGAGAATGAAGTGTGTTTTGTTTAGATTCCTTGGGTGCAGGTTTGTGTGTGACTGTTCCTGACAGTGCGGTCCAGCAAAACACTGCATGACTCCTGGGAGGCAGCAGGAGCTGTCATGTTCAGGGAGCTCCTTGACACCTAAGGCTTTTGGGCAGAGAGGCTCCAGACACTGCTGGTGGTGGCATAAAGCAGCCATCCATTGTAAATAACTTCTTTGCTTGTGTTTCAGTATGCATACAGAGCATTAGCACTTACTGCCATGCCTTTATTGGTTTTAACTTGATGTAGATTTAGGGGAGAAAATGGAGGGGCTCAGGTCCTGTACAGACCCCCTGTAGATGTTTCTACAACATTTACCTAGGTACTTTCTTTTCACATAAACTAGTGTGTTTGGGCTGTGGAGATAGGCTTCAAGTCAGGGCAAGTCCTAGAGACTTAACTGCTTATACCATCTCAGGACATACAGTGTATATGTGAGGCCACTCAAAAATTATGCATTGTTAGAGTTCTCCAAGTGTGTTGCCATCACTTACAAATATACCCCAAACAATTGGCTCTTTAGAATTGATTGGCTGCACATATGCTATTTTATTTGGAGGCAGCTTATGTTTTGCTGCAGAAATAACATACTAGGACTCCAATAACTGTAGCAGTACCTGAGCTCTTCTGAAAGACTGTGCAGTCATCCAGTTGTTGACTTTGGTGTTAAATTTAAACTCTTCTTTTTTTTGTTGTTTTGTTTTGCTTGTTTGGTTGGTTTTCTTCCCCTTTCCTCATTATTAAATATCTGTTTATGCTTTTCAGCTTCCCATCACCAATGTTTCTTGGAATTGGACAGGTATGTTCAGAAGTAAAGGACATTAAATATACTCATTATTTTGTAAGTTAAACTGATGTTAGCATAGAGATACATTTTAGGGAGGAAATCTCTGTTATACTGTAGTTCTTGTCTTCTGGATTAGATCCACCATAAGGAAGAGTGATTTTTGTTTAGTAGGATCAAGGAAATTTCAGCTCAAATCAAAACTATTGCCAGGGAAGAGTCACATAAGGGACTGGAAATGCCATTTATTTCCCCTGGTAGAATTCCATAATTAAGAGATCTGCCTTCAAAACTGCCAAGATTTGTTCTAAGAAGTACACAGATCCTATGAGTGTCCTTGCACTTTTGTGGATTATATGCAGAGACATGGCCTCTATTTGTAGACAGTGTATTTCCTCATAAATCTCTCCCCCACTTTCCCAGCAGTTTTGCAGTAGGACTGTTACACAGTTTTGGTTCTTTGTTGCCTTGTTTGCCTGTGGGCAATTTGCAGTACTGCAGCGGAATTACTTTTTTTGTAGGTGTTTTTGTTGTTAGTAGGCATCATAGTAAAACCCAAGTTCAAATGTTTGTGTACATGGTCCATAAAGAAGAACCTGCGGCTCAGCAGAGAGACAGCTGGGGACAATGGAGCCTTGAAGCCGGTGTTGTTTAGGCAAATAAATTTAAAACAGAGAATTTATTTTCTGCCAAGGCTATAAGCTAAGGTGTGGCGAGGAAGAGGTGAAAACAGGGTACTGCGGGTCTGATATCTCTGCTTGTTGGTGCCGAAGGGAGTAAAATGACTTTTAAAGTCTTTGCTGTATGAAAGGGGGAGAGAAAGAGAGTTTCATACATACAGACTGCTCAAGGAACCACACGTCATGGTTCAGTGGAAGCTAAACACTAGGAAATGTGGCAATACTTCATGTTAAGGGCAAGGTACGGCCTTGTTTCTTTGCTGAACCTAAGACTCAATGTCATTTCCATTTTCTGTTGACTGATCCTTCCAAGATTTCCCTGAATAGTTTGTAAAGTGCATGTAATATGGTATAATGCTTTAGTCTGTAGAACATGTCTCCAACCCCCATTTTCTAGATAGATAATTAATGGATTTTTGTATAAGGAAAATGTAATTTTTTTTTTCCTTCATGGGGGCAGCATTAAGTCTTATGATGTGTGATTGGTCAGCTACTCTCCTTCCTTGTGTTCATATCTTTATTATTCATTCCTCATGTTGTCAGCGATCAATGCAAAACCCCTGCCTCACATTACTTACAGAGCTGTAGGAGTGATTCTGCAGACTATATAACTCTCTGAGTGAAAATAGCATGATTATTCCAGGATCATCTCCTGTTTTATTTTCTCAGCTCCTTCTTAGCCAGTGAAATGTATGTCTCTAGTGTACTTTTAAATAAATAGCAGGTAAAATTGGTAAGAATAAAGTTATTCCAGTTTATTCATTATGTGCCGTGTTGTTCTTTGAAAAAAATAGGTAATACCTAGCATTTGTCAAACGCATATAAAGATTTTGCCTTTGAAGCAGTTCTTTCATTCATACATTACAATTCTGCTCTTACATGACTTATTGTTTTTCCTTTTTGTTTAGATGGCAGCCACTATTCTTATCCTGTATGTGTCGAAATTAAATAAGATTGTTCACTTCCCTGATTTTGACAAAAGTATACCTGTGAAGGTGAGGATTGATATTAATAAGAAAATGTTACCGCTTGTAACGATGTTCTTTCTTATGCAGACAAAATATAAAAGGAAAACAGAAATCAATTTTGCATTTGTTTGTCAAACATGTTTATTTGTATGTTTGTCTCATTTAGTATTGGATTTGATCATTTTAATTTCACTGCAGTATTCTTGCCTTTTGTTTGCAGAGAAATGTGGTGCCATTTGGTTATACAGTACATGGGAAAGTGTTCTGTACCTTCGTACAGCTGGGTGAACTCTTTCAGATTCCTGAAGTATTTTTCAGGATGTATACAGCTCCCTGCAGGATCTGTGTTTAAGAAAGAATTTAGATAACATCATGAAAGGCTGTTTGGAAATTTGAATGTGACATGTGATAAAACAATAGAAAAAGAATATGTGGTAGACCAAAAACCTGAACAACAGTTGATTCCAAATGTAAAATTGATGTTCCATAGGAGGGGCTAAAATAATGCCCACCAAAGATGCAGTAGGTAGGGGCTAGCTGCATCGTTATGGATTAAAGAGGCAGGATAGAGAGAATAGGAGAGGATCTTCTGTTACCTCAGATTGGGAACTAGGATCTGAAATGACTGTAGCAATGATCCTTGTAGATTTTTGCATCCATGTACAGTATGGCTGGAGCTTTACATTGATGCATAAGCCTGCAAATTTATGTCTTGTTGCAAGGTATGGGTCTGTGTTTGCTTAGAGATACAGGAAGTATTAGCTCCTGGCTCTGCTGCAGAGCTCAGATATCATAGCATTTCAGGCTAGCATCTTCGCTGCAGAATCTTGTCTTGCTGTCAGTATGAGGTTTACTACAAATATCTCGCAGCCATTGGCGACTGCTGTATTTTCTTAACGCATGCTGAAATCATTGGCATTTCTGCATGTAGAAATCTTGTAGGAATATCTATAGCATCAGTTATAAAATGGGCAATTCATGTTTTTTCCAAAACATGAATGAAGAAGGTTTCCCAGTGGGCAGTTTTGAGTTTGGCATATAAACAACTTGTCAAGACATCAAGAGGTTTCTTCCCTCTGCACCCCTCCAGTCTCACTACTTCCCCTCCCCGCTGTGGCCTTCACTTTAAAATCAGCACAAGGGCATTAAAAAATACAGCACCTTTTTACTTTGTCCTAATAGTAACTATCCTTTGGAAGACTTCCCTGGGTATGCTGGGAGCAGTCAGCACTGCAGCATCCAGGACTTGCATACTGCTTGTAGTGCTGAATTTGACTAGTCACAGTGAATCAGCTGGATTGCCCACTGTTGATTACTTTTTTAAAGCAGCCTTAGACTGACACTTTATCCTATTGAAAACTTTTGCTTTCATTGACGCTAAGGTTACAGTTGCTTTTCAACTCCCAGACTGGTTGCTTTCAGCTAGAGTTTTAAAGTAGCAGAGTGCTTATTTTAGTGAGGAAGCTTTGGAGTTCTTGACCCTTTTTAAGTAAATGTTTCATTGATCTCTGATGTTGTGCTGGATATTGTGATTTTGCCTTTATAATAGAGGAAAGAGAATGTAATGTCAGCTCTATTTTCATGCTATGAATGAAGATAGGTTTCTAAATAAAAATCTGTAGAAGAGGGAGAGTATTACAAAATTTTTGCAAGCTTATGTTGACAGGCTGAATATTTATTGTTACTCACACTCCTCTTACTTTATACTCCAGTTTACTTCTACTGTTACTCTCACTTAAAAGTTAACTTTAGTTAACTGTAGTTAATTTTTACTGTACTTTTCTCCTCTCTCCTCCTTGCTGTAAAAGAAACGCAGAATTTTTAACATTGATAAAACACAGCCCATTCCTCTGTATGCTCTTCCAGCACACGGTGCTTTGAAAAGGCATAGGCTCTAACAAACACAGCATGTATAGGCACAACAGCAGCAGCTATTACACAGGTTAGGATAGAGGATCTGTTTTGTCTTTCTGCCATTTCAGGTCCACTTGACTGATAGTGAATGGGACTAGAAGTACACACCACCTTTGTCCCCCAGTGATTACTTTGACTAGTTTTAATCTTCTCCAACTTTTCTGTAGTGGGAGAATAACAGCTTTGAACTGCAGATGAGTATTGTGTAGGGATCCCTGACTTCTGGTACATTTTCTTAGGGCTCTGAAGTTCTGTTATTGCTTCTCTGTATTGGGTTAGGGCCCAAATGTTTCTGTGGGCGTTAGTCTCATTATGCTAGAAGCTGGAAATGGTTTAATTTACCCCTAAATACTTAACTTTCCTTTCTAGTATCTAGCATAGCATAATTTGTTAGTAGATCTAAAATGGTGTATCTTCCAGGCATGCTAATATCTGTGGAGTACCTAGAGAAGCATAGCATACTTACAGCCTATTAATTCTTTCATTCCACCTGTTCTTCTGCTTATTTAGTTAGTATTACTTTTAGACCTACAATTAAAATGTTGGAATGAGTATTAATCTGAGGATTATAGTAATTAAAATAGAATTAATTAACTTATACACTGAATGGAGTCTGAGTCTCATTAGAGGTAGTTTGTGACTCTTCTAATGAAATCAGTGAAGCTGTGGTTGTGAACGGTCACATGAATGAGACCTGCAGATCAGTTTGCAGCATAGTTACTTTTTTTTTTTTAAAAAGCCCTTTTTCTTGCTAAAAGTACATCTGATATTACAGTTATCAAATTCTATCAAAGTTTCTCAACAGTACTTCAAAACATAATAATCTGAGTTGTGCTTTTAATTTCATCACAGTTGTTTCCTCTGCCTCTGATTTATGTTGGAAACCACATAAGTGGATTATCAAGTACCAGCAAACTCAGGTACAGTAAATGGAAGTTATAAGTAGACTGTCTGGATTTTACCCTTTTCTTTTGTGGGGGTAAAAAATAAACACTAAATCAAAAAGCATTGCATAGGGACTTAAATGCATATGATGTCTGTCTGTCTGTCTAAACCCCTGATATTACTAGGAAGCTCTTACCCAAACATTTGATCTATTTACAAGCTGTCTACTTCTTTTAATGGGGGCTTAGCTAGGCCTTGTACTGACAGAAAATCACAATGCTCCTTGTGACAGGAAAGTGGCTTTCATTTTCCCCTCACACCCAAGCATCCAGCTTTTCCTGGATGTCCTAAGCAGAGAGTTTGAAAGCTGTAGGAAAGACATTTTTGAAGGAAGAAGAATATGGGAAAGATTTGTACCATGAAGTCAGTGCAGGTTATTTAGGACATACCAAGAGATGGAAGAATGACTGCATAGTGGGTGGTGGTGGTGACGTAGCCCTGCTGAGCACCAAGAGCAGGCTGTGGGGAGGTTGCTAAAGGGCTCGCTGGCTCCTGTATGCCCATAAGCATAGATCCATGAGAGTTACTTCCATGCTAGTGTTAAAAAGGTGTAAGGTATGTAGAGGACCTGCTGTAATAGATCGGATGACCAAATTTTCTATGGAAGAGGAATGCAGGAGCATGATGGCTGCACCAGGATTGGAGGATACAGCACTACCATTGTGGTGGTTTCTTGTATGTTATTACAGGCTTCTGAGAATTTGACAGTAAGCTAAACCAAATCACAGAATTTTGCAGGTTTTCAGCATTTCCTAACTTTGAAACATGAAGCGCCTGATTCTGCAGCTCTGTGTTGTACATGTTCAGATGTTGTTCTACTGAAGTTCCTGTTCAGGCAGACGTAAGGACTTCAGCAATATTATCCCTAGTAGAACTTCAGCCAATGTGAATATGGAAGTATTCCTGTAAAAGTTTGATTCATGGGTTCTTCTTTCCCCTGTTTCCCTAACTGTAATTTTAAAATAAAAAGTTTATTAGGTTATTTTAAACATAAGTGCAACATCTCCTCCTCCTCTGACTAACATACTTCTTTTAGATTTACTATTCATAACTGATTTTTAAAACAGAAAAGTAAGAATGGCTGCACTGTTTCTACCATAAACTTTTTGTTACATTGCATTTTGTTACATTATGTGACATTTGTTTACATTATGGAATTCTCTATCTTGTTTGGGGTGTCTTTGTGCTGGGTCGATGATCCTATTCATACCTTCAAAATATCTGTTGTAAAATGATTAAAATCTGCATTAGGATTTGTATCACTTATTAATGCAGCTGCTAATAGTTATTGTAAACAGAGGATTAATTGATCCATATGGCCATGCTGTCAGATTTCCAAAGTGTCAGATGCCAGTATTTTCTCAAATTAATCAGAAAGGTTTCCAACTACGTCACTTCATGTAGACCAACAATAAGTTGCTCAAACGTAGCTGGCTGTTTGGCAGTTGCAGCTGGTCCCACCTATGACATTTCCTGTACTTCTCCTGGTTTTTTTTTCTTGTGGATTTATTTTACTGGTTTGAAAGTACAGCTTGTTTACTAGGCATATTTGCTTTGTATTTTATTTCTGTTATGTGATTTCAGAGACAGGTTTACTGTGTGTCCTTTAAGTTTACATAGAAATAATTTTTACTTACCCTGCCTGTGAATTCTACAGGAGGAATTATTTTATAGGGGCTATCCTAGGTAGAAATTAGCTTTTGTATTTCATTTTACTGATGCGGAGGGGCCTTTTAGAAGGTAGCAAGCTACATTGTTCTACAAACTGACAAATCTTGTTATTTTTCAATGATTTGGTTATCTAATCTGCCTCTAGTGTCAGACTAACATTTTTTTTATGTATGCTAAGTGGCTGGGAGTTTGTTTTGGTTGTTTATTGCTGGACTAATGGTTTCATATTCTGCTTAGTAAAATTAGATAAGAATTAAAACATAAAAATGCTATTAATCTGATGCTGTGCTCGGATTTTATTTTTTTTTGACAGTTTGCCGATGTTTACAGTGCTCAGGAAGTTTACCATTCCACTTACTTTACTGCTGGAAATCATCATACTTGGGTGATCCTTTTTTTTTTTTTTTTTTTCATTTAAGATACCTTTATTTTTGATCATATCAAGTGGATTACTGCTGCCATCTCATCAGAATACTGAATGACTGCTTTTCACTGAGAAAGAGAGGAAACCAAAGAAAGTAGCTCTTTTATGTAGCTTTTTTGAAGACATAGGTACATGCACTTTAGTGAATAGAGGGAGGAAAATATTCAGCTTGCTCTCATTTACACAGCTCATTCTCTTGACTGTTGCACAGGAATCAGGTAAGCACAGCAAGACCCAGGCACTTCTTTTAGCAGTTAATGGTTTGTGTCTCATCTCAGAGGCCCTTAAGCTGCAAACTGCTTTAAACAGACAGATCCTTATGTCTCAGAATTGATGATAGTACAGCAGTCTGCTTAAGCAGAGTAGCTTTCCGGGTCAAGTCTGAAAACATACCAATTTGATGAAGCTAAATGGTATCTAGCAGTGTGCTGTTAGATCAGAAAACTCTGTAATTATAGATACAACAGTTATTTTTAATGAGAAATTAAGAAGTGTATGCTATTGCAGCTTGGGATCACTAGTTTCAGTTGTACCGATTTGGAAGAAAAGGAATGTAAATACATGATACTTTGTCACCGTCATAGTTCTATACTGGTGGTTCGTGCTTGGATAAGGTGAGGTTTGCAAGGGGAAAAGCAGCTTGCTGAAGCTGAACCCAGGCAATATGAGAGTGATGGTCAGGGAAAACCTTTTCAAAAAGCCTCCAAGTAGACTGGCATCTCTTTTTGGCTGAAGCAGCAGCTGATCAATGATTCATCTTTGGAGATGCTCCAGGATTCTTTTCTAGTTGTAAGTTCTCACAGAGAAAGCAGAACTTGCTTTCTTCTCCTCTTGGCCTGAGGCCTCCCTCAAGCGAGGAAAGTGTGAGTCAGTGAGATGTCAGTTCTCAGCTGCACTACAAGCAACATCCTAACCTGAGGGAAGCCTAAGAGCAGAATGCTGTATTTGTACAAACTGCCGCAGTGTATTTCCTCAGGCCTGAAAATGAAAGGACTCCAGAGAGTATATGCTGGCTTACCTCAGGATATGAAAAGTAGTTAAGTTTAGGTTGTTACTGTTGAGATTCATTTTGAACAAAGCCTAATATATCTAGAGACTGCATACAGCTTTGTTGTTGGGACAGTGGTTCACATCTGTGCTCCTTTGACACACAGGATTTCTGTGGGAGCATTGTACATTTTGTTTTGATGGATCTTTTCTCACAGGCCAGCTCAGAGCTGGGAACTGGTGTTACGGAATGACTAGGGGAATGTCTTAAGTCACCTTGCAATATGGTGCAGAAATACTTAAGACATATCTAAATAAACAGGTATAAGAAGCAGGAAAGTTTTACAGTACACTTTCCCCTACTGTGTGGTGGTGCTGATGTAGATGTACTGAAGAATTTAATAAGCTTCTGTGCCTTCCCCTCCAAGTATAAGGTTTCAGTTTGACTTATAAATAAGTATCTATTTGAGAAGTAGCCTAGATAGTGTGCAGTACAGCATCTTCCCCAAGAAAGGTGAGATGAAAAAATACACGAGAGATGTGTAGTGATTTTCCTGTATTGAATTACTGGAAGACACTGAAATATGTCCATTATGAGTACCAATACACAGTAGATTACAGTTTGTTCCAGCACTGTTACTTCAAACCTTTAATCTTTACTCTTAAAATTATCTAGTGGCAGAATGTTCACAATGCTTTTTTAGTCTCTGTTCTTGGGGCTGAAGTCTGAAAGCATGGCACATAGTCAATCACATTGCTTCTGTAAGGTTATCAAGACTGTGCCCTCCTGTTAAATGTTCTGTGGTTACTACTTGCTTCGAAACTTTTCAGGCAGACAGCCATTTAATCTTCTCTTCAAATAATGAAAATGTGAACTGTCTAATTTTTGTCTACAGGAAACGTTACCCACTGAGTATTATAGTCAGCGTATTTGTCATCATTCTTGGGGCTTTCATAGCAGCTGGGTAAGGCTTTTGTTTTTCATACAAAGTCATGTTATGAGTGGAGGGACAACAGTAGGATTATCTTCCTTGTTAATTGCCAAGTAAATCTAAGTTGAGATCTGTTACTCTGAATTAAGTTGATTTGAAAAATCTCTCTGCTGACATCATTGGGAGGTGCAGGAATACAAAAGGGAAAATTTAACTCCAGCTGGAAGTATTTGGGTGCTTCTTCTTTTTCCCCTTGGGTTTTCCATGTTGCCAGGTTCATAAATGAAGCAAGTTAAAACTGTGTGAGGAACGCTGCTTTTATTTCATAGTATCAGTGTATTTTAATAATCTTAGAAAAATACATTCTTGTTCTGAGTAGAAAGACTGTCTTTTGGTTGTCAAATAGTTTTGAGTTAGGCAACATCTGTTGTTTTAATCACTTTGAACAAGTTCAAATGTGGGATTAAGTTCACAAAGCAGTCACATTTTATTCTCCTCTGTTTTTTTTTTTTTCTGTTTGACTATTCCTTTCCTTAACTGGAAATGTCATGTTATTTTTTGTTTCTTGGCTTTGCTATGTGCAGAGGTAAACAATTTCCATGTGATGTGACTCGGATAGAGCCATGTCCTATTAAATGCATTACCCTATATCCATGAGGAAACTAGTCAAAACAGAAAGGATGACAATATGTCTGATCTGACTGTAAAAAACAAGTAGTCATACTTTATTGCCTAGCTACTTTTTGTGTTAAAAGAAATAGATAAGTATACTCAATAATAATTGGACAGGTTGTCAGAATTGAGACAGATGGAATTTTTCACAGAATGAAAACTGAACATTTCCTGCCACTTCCACACTGAGTTCTGGTAACTCTCTGATGACTCATTTGTGAGGATCCTGTGACTGGAGAAATGTAAAGTACCTTGACTTACAAAGAAGGCTTAAAGCAAAACCTGTGACTTGCTGGAGTTCTCAGGATTTGCATTTCCTCATTTATGATATTTCTCTAGGTAAACAAGGTAGTGCAGTGCATTGGATGCTCTTTGCTTATTTACAATATAATATTTCTTTCCCAGGTCTGACCTGTCTTTTAATCTGGAGGGCTACACGTTTGTATTGCTAAATGATATCTTCACGGCAGCAAATGGAGTTTACACAAAGCAGAAAATTGATCCAAAGGTAACTGTGGGCTGATTAGGTTGAATTTAACATATGGTAACAGTGGGTTACTTATTATATGACATTATGAACATACAGTTATGAACTAATAAATAGTTTAAGTTGCTTTCATATTTCAGTTGATATATGCATCCTTAATACAGAACACCCTGGGAAAAACTTGTTATTAGTATCTCAGGCCAGGCTTAGTGTATTTTATTTTTTCCCAAGTCTTTAAGGCAGAGTTTGTAGTGGCTTTAAAACATTTATTTTGGCTAATAAAATAAATCCAAACCAAAAGCAAATTGTTTACCTGTGAACCTGATACATATCTAAAGAAGATGAATTTTTGACTAGAAACAGACTTTAAGTGAGGTTTATGTAAAATAAACTTGTGGCTAGGAATAGACACCTGACCAGTTTGAGTCAATAAGAATAACAACTGGTATCTTTTTTGTCTGTCTAAAAGCAGGTCTACACCAAACCCACGTATGCCAAAGAATTAGGCCATACCTTGATACATTACACTTTGTGTAAACATTGAGCAGGCTGCTCTTGTAACACAGTGCTATGAAAACATACCAAGCCATAGCAAAGAGCAGTCCTGGAGATGCTGATAGAGGTTTTGTCACAGACTTTTGTGGGTCAGTCTGTACAGTGGAAATGTATGTCTTTTAGTAATATCAGGAGTCACACTGTATCCAGACTCCGTAATTTTCTTTATGAGCAGCACTTAACGGCCTCACAGGTTTCTGCAAAATATGGGGTTTCATTTTAAAGCAAGAGATAAGCTGAAGAGATTTGTAACGTAGCACGGCTAAATCTGGAGGAAGCGAAAGCTGCTTTTCTATTCCCCTAATCTTATGCTTTTGTGTCAAGCAAGTTAACCAACAGGATATATGGCATCCCTCAAGTTGCATCAGTTACCAGTGTTTACAGGTGCTCTGTCTAGGAGTCAGGCTTCAATAATTTTCCTGCTGTGCTGGCCCCAGGGAGCCACCCTGCCCTATCCTTTTGTGGTTGTTGCAGTGGATGGAATGAGTAATCACTTGGCCACGCAGAGACTTACCTGCAGTCTAACACAAAGCAGTTCTGGACCAGTGCCTTGGGAAGTTTCTGACTAGCTGGTGTTGTACAGAAAATTCAAGGTATAGCAGAGCAGTAATATTCTGCTGAATATACAAAGTGACTGAAATTGAAACTCAGCTCAGTACTAAACACGGAATCCAATGACCACAAGCTTGTATTTTTAATTGAAGTGTATTATGTTTTGTCTACTCATTGACAATAATGTCAGAATGATTGACAGAGTAATATTTAGTATTTTGCTCCCAAATAGCTTGTAATTCGAAACACTGTTTCATTTTTCACAGGAGTTGGGAAAATATGGTGTCCTTTTCTATAATGCTTGTTTCATGGTAGTACCAACAGTTATTATGAGCTTTTCTACTGGAGACTTTCAGCAGGTAAGGAGCAATATTCCATAGCTCAGACTAATAACAGTATTTTGTTCAGTTTTTTCAGTGGGGGGGTGGGTGGCATTTTTTGTTTGTTTGTTTTTTTAAAGAGGTAATCCTATGTCCATGCTAGTGACTGCTATTTGAAATATGTGACTTCGACTTCCCTTCACAGGTAATAACTTGTAATTATTCACTCTGAGGAGAAGCTGAAGCTGTGTGATAGCCCTTATATGAGTCTTTTTTTAAAAACTAATATGTGTCTGGGGACTTTCAGCTAGAGCAATTGGTTGGGAATCCAGCTGCACTATGTGATTTGCCACATGCTCTAAAATGAGATTGCAAACACCAAAACCAGAAAATTTCCAGTCCTCTCATTCTGATGCACAGGACAGATTCCTGTTTAGTAACCTACATTTTACATTCTTACAGAATGACAGCACGAATCTCCATAGCTAATCATAATATTGTATAATACCATAGGCAGTATGTCCTCACATGTAAAGTATCAGTCCAGGAGGTTTGTGGTGTTTTTCTGGCTCCTTCACAGACTTTCTTAGTTGCCCATTTCTTACCAGTAATATGAGTCTAGACACTCATGTTCTCTTTTGGAAATATTTGAAATTTGCCACTGAAAATTGCTGCAGAGCTTGCAGGTGTCATAAATCCTTCCAGTGTCCTTTGTTATATGTTGTTGTGCCCTGGACTCACATGATTTTGTCATTGTGTTCTTACAAGTTCTTTAAGTGAAAAAATTGTCATTCCCTGAAAAATGGTGGTGTTAGATCTGCTCTGAGTGTGAAATGTCTTCCTGTGACATGAGTCCAGCATGACCTTATGCCAGTTTAGGAAAATGCAGCCGATGCCCTTCTTGGCAGAATTGGTGGGGGCCAAGTTTGTATATTTGTAAGGTTTTACCTGCTTTCCCAGCAGTCATGGCTGGAGGACTTTTGGGAGATCTGGACAGGGAAATTTACCTTGTTGCTAGATTTAGTCCATGGGAAAAAAAGTGCCTTGTGCCCACATTTTGATTTGGCACAAACAATTTAATGCTCAATTACCTGAAAAAAAGTAAAATCAGAGAAATGCATAATGCCTATTGTGCATATGAAGTGGCTTGATCACTTAATATTGGGAAGTCTCATTAAATGATGGGTATGACTAGTGTCGGCATGATGCACAGAAATTAAATCACAGAAAAATGTAGAAAATTGAAAAATACTCATGAAAAATCAACAAATCATGGTGGATAACACCTGTATTTAGCAGATTTTTCAGGTCACAGAAGTTGGCTTGCTTTTACCCTAGCAGAGATTTTTGCCTTGATCCATCACAGACAATGCACCTTTTACCAATCAGAATATCAGTACCCCATTGATGCGCTAGGGAGATTGCTTCTTCTCCTCTAGCTCTTTCTGGAGCTGTAGCTACTGCATCTTGTAGAGTCTGCAGTGTGTGAGTGTCCCAGTTAATCACTTCTTCACCAGCTGCTCACTAGGAGAACAGGAAAGCATGATGCAGTGGAAGAGGAATGAAGCCCCAGAATGTCTCTTAATAATACTTTGCAATTCATTGTTGCACACCCGCACAATTCTAGCAGGGCACAGCTGCCCGAGATCCCTCTAATCTATTACCTCACGTGCTGGAGGCTCAGCTAGCCACAGCTCAGCATGGACTAACAGCCTTTACCCTGTTTCTCAGGGGTGTGTTCAGCCTTTGCTGAATTTTGTGCTGGTGCAGGTGACTTTAAACTAACCAGATTGAATTGAGGTACCCTGGAGTTACTAGAGATGGAGAAGAACCTGTGACATGTTTCTTAGTGAATGTTGTGTGGCACTGTGTGTTTGTTTGCTGCATGTCACTAAGGAACAGGCTTCAAAGTGATGATTTAGCCTTTTCGCTGACCTTCATTGATCAGAGACCTTAGTATTGCTTACCTAATCTGGTTTTAAGCTCAAAAACGCAGGCTTGGACCTTGAAAGCTGTTAATGAATGAATCTATGGTATGAAATAGGTTTCAAGGAGATTATTTATTTATTTGCTTTTCTCCCTGTCTGGTATCAACACTATTTATTATATAATATTAATCACAGTGTTGGTATCTGTATCAATAAATTTGAAAATACACATTCTCTGTATTGTATACATTGCTTGCAATGTGCAGTTTTATATCTGCACTGCTATATATGTTACCAGAATGTTTCTAGGTATCATGGGTGCTGTTGTACTGTTGTCTCTGAAGTTAAATGCATCAAACTGTTTCCAGTAGTAATATGAATATCTAGTAATTATAATATGAATCAAATATATTTTGTGATTTTCCACATTTTCATATTAACTATATTTTATACATGTTTACAGTTGATTATATAGCACGTAATTCTTGCTCTCTCTCTCATTTTTTTTTAATAGGCAACACATTTCCAGCACTGGACAAATTTTTTATTTGTCTTTCAATTTCTTCTTTCCTGCTTGTTGGGGTAAGGACACAGGGTAATCAAGTAAGACACTTTAATGACAGTGTTTCAAATTGCAAGTCTCAAATGTAAAACTCACTAGTAAGTTATGTTAAAAGTCAAAGAAAAAATATTTTTCCCCCAGGCTTCTGTCTTGTCTTTTAATTATTTCTAATAGATAGTACTGAAACAGTTATTTACACTATGTTGTTTGTTTCACAAGTGCAGTGGTCAACAACATGACATTTCGCTTTTTACTTTCTGTACCCAGTATCTCTCTGCTGGCCCTCTCTTCTGATTATCTAACCTCTTCTTTACAGTTAATAGAATGTAAGCCCTTTACTATATGAACTGTTTCAGTGCATTTGTTCTTTAAAGTACCTGGAAAAGAAATTCAAAAGTAATAAACCAATGCTTTGTTCCTGTTGGAACTGCAGAGTCAAAGCAAGAATAGAAAGTGGGTTGGATCCTGTTCTGCTCTTTCACGTCACCAACCAAGGGGTCAAACTAACTTCAAATACAGACGTTTAAGAAGCACAGAAGATAAGGATGACTCTGTTAGAGCTGAAGCAGCATATTGTAATGTATATTTTTATGCACATCATTAACTTAAAATACAGATCCACAGGGTCTTTTTTTAGGGTTCGGAACAGGTGGGATTGAAGATCCTGGCAAAATACAGATCCAGGAAATGTTGAACATTTCAAAGTGTTGCTAAACTTCTGAGCTCCCTGGAAGAAATTTGTAAAATTTTCTCCTTTGCTTTACTTAGGTTTCTCTTGATGTATTCTACTGTCCTATGCAGTCATTACAATTCTGCACTTACAACAGCAGTAGTTGGTGCCATCAAGGTGAGTTATGGAGAAGAGGGAGATGAGAATGCTCAAATAGGCAGGGAAGAGCATTGATTCAGCAGTGATCCTGATTATGCTTTGAGCTGGAAACTCAGAATGAGGGCTAATACTGAGACACTGCTTGTGCCATACATTTTGGAGATCCACACATCAAAGTGACCTTGCTTTGAAGCTCAGGTATACTCTAGAAAGCAATGTGGGTATTGATTTATTTTTATTTTTGCTGCATGAGAAACTTGAACCACTTTAATTAAAAGGTGTACGTTTAACCACATTTCATCAGGTACTATCACCTGCTTATGTTCCTTATCAAGTTACTGTAAGTTAGTCAAGGTAGCCTGATGCAAATCCATTGCAAACAGAAACTGATACAGACTAACCCACTTTCACTTTGGGCTGACCTAGTTTCCGTTGCTGCTAATAAATAGGTCATTCATAGATAAAAAATAATGACTAAGCTGTAGCAAGGAGGTTACTGCTCTATGGTTAACTGCCTTTGTCTGACAACATGTATTCCTATATTAGCTGAAAGGACAATTTCATTTTGGTTTGTATAAATTCTGGTCAATTTGATGAATGCCAGAATATGCCTGTGTTAAGAACTGAACTTTGTGTCCTTACAGTCTGTTTTCTCTAACCCTGTTTAATTTAAAACCAGTGCAGCTTCCATTGTGTTGATAAGGCTAGCATGTTTGAGCTGGGAACATCACTGACTGCACAAGCACCTTTTTGTCGGCCAATTTGGAGAGAAGCACAGAGCTGTAAGCTGGAAGAGTTTTAGCAAAAGATAAAGTGTATGCTGTTGTGGGCCAAACAACTATCAGAATCCAAACTAGCTTAGGCACAGAATAACAGTCCTCAGGGTGCTCCCTTTCATGGGTGACTAAGGAAAACAATACCTCCAGCATAGCAAAATCCACAAAAAGAAGATACTACTTCTCTTTCTGCAGTTGTTTGTTTTTGAAAGCCAGCAAGATTAATCTAGTAGTTTTCATTCTGTGGTTCTGAAAGTGTTCTTTTAAATTTGATGTGTCTGCATTGAACCATTAAGATAGAGCAACACTGTTTCTATTTGCTGAGTATTAATTAGTCTTTGAGACACTTCAAGCAGCTTTAAAGTCGACAAGCCCTTTATGATATGGAGGTCCGCAGTAGAAATCTCTAGAAATTATGTCATTGTCCAGACTAACTGCTAAAATATTTGAAACCGTTGAAGTGTTGGTAAAATGATCACACAGTTCCATAGTTTTACTTCTGTCTATAGGGGACAATTTTCCCAAAACTTGATGGGGGCAGGGTGAGGGGTAGAATCTTTAAACTGTGCCTGCCTTGAACTTGAGCCAAGTGCTTTCAATGCACATTTAGTTGGCAAAGTGAGGAGGTAACCCCTTCAAAGCAGTAGTAAAGAGCTTTTATTGTAACTTCAAAGAGTAATTTTTATGCTTGAGAACCCAAAACCTGCTTTTAAGAAATAGGGTTTGAAGTGAGCCTTTCAAGGATTAAAAAGAAGTACATTTTCAAAAGGTGTCCATAGCTCCATTTTGCCAAACATCAGATAGCTAATTTGCTTTTTTAATTTTTTTCTTTTTTTTTTTTCCCCAGAAGGTCATTCTCAGTGCATTGTATGCATTTAGAAAACATACTGATTTTATTATCCTGTTTTGCTGTCACCTTACCCATGATGATGACATCCCATGAAACTAATCTCAGAGAGGCCAGCAACAGACTATAGCTATTTCCTTAGAAGAGTAAATTAATTGATACCATTTATATTCTTGGAGATGAAAACTGACTTCAATAAATGCATGGCTTTTGTTCCCTTTCAGAATATATCCATTGCTTACATTGGAATGTTGATTGGTGGAGATTACATATTCTCCATGTTAAACTTCATTGGGCTAAATATTTGGTGAGTGAAACTTGAATAGCTTTTATTTGTTAAAGCTGAAGATATCTCAGTGAGATATAGTTTTATGTTTTGTTTGATTTAGCCCACTTGGGTGATGCAGGTTTGAAACTACTGGCATGAGGATGCACTGCCTCAGGGTGTAAAGTTCATTACAATTAGTTACATCTTTTCTTGTCTGTTTTCAGATATTGAACCTTACTATGATAAGATCTTAACTATGGAAACATGCTGGCAGTCTTACTATGTGGGGTTGAGTTAATTCTTTTTTTATGAGCAGCAGTTCCGAGCTGTGCTACTTCCGAGTAAAAGCCAGGTGGTGTGGGAAGTGAGAACACTGTGTCCATTGAATAGGAGTTACGACTTGTGAGTTGTTACTTTTTGTGTTTGGGTGAACTGTTACATCTGTTTGTATGAATCTGTTGGAGCAACTGATAATTGATCTTTGTTTACTTGGGGTTTGTTTCTCAGGTGGTTTACATAGCTCTGAGGCACTCCTAGTTTATGTTAGCTGGCATTCTTTACTCCTTTGGGAGGAAAGGTACATACATATAAAATGGTATATACAACATCAGGTATCTTTGACACCTCTGTTTGTTCTTTTTTCTTCAGTATGGCAGGAGGACTGAGATACTCATTTTTAACCTTAAGAGGGAACAGCAAGCCTTCGCAACCTGGGGATGAAGAGACTGCACTTCCTGAGTCAAAGAGTTAGCCAAAATGTCTGCCCTGAAAGAGACTGAACATACAAGTTAGTTTAGCATTGCAGAGAACTTAAGTAATTATATGCTGCAACATATTTGGAACAAGAAAAAAAAATCTACCTCAATTGCCACAGATGTGCACACAACTCATTGGTTCAGAAATATTCTTGTACACCATGTTTTTTACATGTGGACAAGTTTAATTTTAGCATTTTTTTACACCATGAGCTAATTTAGGAAGTAATGCCATGAACAAATCTCAGATCCCTTCATTTACCTGTGTTATGGTGCTATTTGTTCTATTTCAGTGTCTGCCAGTACTCTCTGAGGCAAAACTGCCTGTAAGGATCATGTGGTTTGATTCACCATTACGTTATGCCATATGCAGTCTTTGGTATCAGTGAAGTGATGAAAGATGCTAGTGATTCAGAATGATTTCACGTACACATTTGCTCTTGTGTAAGTGGCTGTAGAATGTATGGGGCAAAGAGGAGATCGGCCCCAAGTTTGTTCCCTGTGTAAGTGTTGACTGAAGAATTCAGGATATGGCCTAGCATGTTTGGTATGCATTGTGTAGATATTCTCTCTCAGTCTTTTCCTCATCCTCAATAACATGGTGTTCTGCTGCAATTGTCACTGTTGTTGTAAGTGAATTCTCGTAACTTTGCTGCAGGATCAAGGAGAGAAGGAAATCGAGGGAAGAATTTTATATATAAAAAGATTTTTTTTGTGTGAGAGCCAGTACCAAACAGGTTAATTAGGAGAGATAACAAAGGTAAATCTATTTTTGTTTAGGTACATTCGTCTCTTTATATCACAGTCCCCTCCTCTGATGTTTTGTCTATAACTATCTTCTAATGCTGTAGAGAAGTGATGTTACTATATATAAACTACAAGAGAGGAAACTGATTCATATATGGAAGACTAACTTGTCTTTAAATGAGGAGAAAGGATTAGTGTCTTGTTGTGTCTTATATATGCAGTGAAAGCTTATCTGGTACTAGTTTATGCTTAAAATTCAGAATAAGGAATTATAACAAGCCCAAGAGGTTTCTACAGTGGGCAAGGCTGGCCCACTGGTTAAAAAAACTGGTCTGGAATCTGATTGTTAAGGTTATCGTCTGGGACAATAATGTATCCTGTATCTTTATTTCCTTCTTTGAAAATACAGTTGATAATGCTTACCTGTGTCTCTGAGGATATACCATTAATCATTGAAAACATGGTAAAAGCCTTGCAGCACTGGAGGACAGCGGAGTAATTAACTGTGTTGAAGTTTTCAACTCCCTGCAAGCATGAGCCAAAATTTTTTGAAATAATCAAATTAGAAGAAGATTTTGGAAGACCGTGACTTGGAACAAGGGAGATCTAATGACTTGTTCTATCCCTGCTTGAATTAAAATAGAGCTAAATCTGTAAGCATTACTCCGGGTGTAACATGTGAATGACCAGACTGGATTAGATCTGAGAAATATGTGAGTAGTTCACACCAGAAGCTTCAGGGAATGACTGGACTGCCCACTGCCTTTGTGGATTTGAATGGCAAGAGGAGGAGGAGTGACTGCAGATATCAGAAGTGGAATTTAAGGACGCAGTCAAAGTGGAAACAGAAGTCTGGGCTATCCAGTTTCTCACAGCTGGCTGAGAGATGTGACTTTCATTTTCTACCTATTGAAGAGCTGAGAAGGGAAGGGGTAGCTGCAAATACTTTAGAGAGATCTTTTGTTTTTAAAGATCCTGAAAAAGCCTGTGATACTTTTGATACTCTTTCTCCAGATCATCTCTACCTCCAGAATCCTGATTATTGAACCTCATCTCTCTGCAGTGGGACAAGGCATTGGAAGGTTTTCATTAATTATGAGAAGATTGAGAGTCATTTGATTGCAATACAAATGGACGCATAATGGCACCTGCTAAATAAGATGTAGCTTCCACAAAGGAACAGCTACTGTATGCATTTAATACATTAATATTTTGCTGTACCTTTTATAAATAAAGAGATGCAGATTACAGTTTTAAAAAGTTTTTGGGTTTTTGTGTGGATGGACACGTAAAATGCTTTTAAGCACATGGATAGCACGAATATTTGCTTTTTGTGCGATCGACTACTATGCTGTACTTGAAGTAGTTTTGTTAGTTCATTCTGTACTGTAGTGGAAGCAATTTTATTTAATTTATTGTTCATGTCACGTTTTTGAAGTCCTTCAGACTTAGACTTCTCACCTAAAATACAGACCTGAATGCCAAAGTCTTTATGATAATGTTACTCAGAATCATTTACAAGATAAATTTAGGAATAAGCCAGAGTAGGTATTATCTGGAAGAACTTGCAAGTGCTTACATCCTTTCACAAAGCAACTCAGCTTCAGTCTCTTACTATTTTCCTCTGTATCAGCGGAGATATTACTGATTCCAGTATATTCACTGGTTGAAGCTCTGGGAATATGGGCTCAACCAGGCACAACTCTCATGTTAGAATTTAGGCAATTGTGGAAATGGCTATTTCACTCAGAACCTCTGTAACGGCGTCTTTCAATTAATAAGGTAGTAATTTAAAACTGATTTCTTGTAGGTTACATCTGTAGATAGTCCGAACCTTACTTTTCTACAGACTTCTTATCAGCTTAATGAAAGATTAAAACAGTTGTAAAACTAGATGGCTGATGTGCTGTGTGAAGCTTCATTTTCTTTTCTTTCTTTTGGAAATATGGTAAAAATTTTTAGAGAAAACATTACTCTTCATAATACAGATTTAAAAGAATTACCAAGTAAGCTAGTTTTAAGAAATGCTGGATTGACTTCTGAAAGTTACAGTCCCTCACTGAAGTTTCTTGTGGTTACGTGCTGCTAGCTACAGAGCTTGATTTCAGAAGTCAGTCCAACGTTTTAAAAACTTTTCAAGTTCTACAGATGACAAGGAAACATAGAAAGAAACTTTAAAATAGTAACTGTATTGAAAAGGAATATTGTACTGTATGTTGATCTGTTCACACTCTTAATTTTATAGGGATTGCTTAGCAGTGGGCTAGCTGTAATGGAATAAGATCAAGAGTGAGAAAGCACAGTGGTCACCCAAAGAAGCTTGCTATCTATGCAATGTGTAAGGTTCTTGCAATGATTTTCACTTGAATATGAGGAAGTTCTTTACTTTGAGGGTGACAGAGGACTGGAACAGGCTGCCCAGGGGGGTTGTGGAGTCTCCTCTGGAGATATTCAAAGCCTGCCTGGATGATGTCCTGTGCAACCTGCTCTAGGTGAACCTGCTTTAGCAGGGGGGTTGGACTAGATGATCTCTGGAGGTCCCTTCCAACCCCTGCCATTCTGTGATTCTGTGATCCCTGTGAAAGTCAAAAAAGCAATACCTCAGAAAAAAAACACAACTTAGATGGGGCTGGATGAACAATTCTTCACATTCATAAGCATTTGTTATTTTTCCTCTCAGTATCTCAGCCTGATTTAAAAATATTAGGCCCATGATGTACTGTAAGTGTATCTCGGATTTGTTACCAGTCTCCAGAAAAGAAAATGTCAAGAAAGCATGGGCAGAACTGGAAGTGCAGAAGAAAAGACTGGCAGCTATGCAAGTTTGCATTTTGGCTCTATCGTCAAATAGAACTGCTTTTGTTTCTTTTTCGTGTAAAGGATGTATTCAGCATCATTGTTGCATATGAAGAACACAGTGCAACTTGTTCAAATTTAAAGTATTCCTTGAATAGTTAGTGATTCTCTGGGGAATGGGTGATTGTATGTAATTTTTTTTTAATTTAATATTAAAATCTTTTTTTTTAGCTGACTGGCCTTACTTATGGGGTAAAACAAGAGGTGTTATGGTATAGAAAACAGCAATTATACTGAAATTTTAAGAGGGCTTATGTGTGAGGAAACTGGGTTGTTAAGCTGAGATGGTAGTGATTTTTATATCTTCTTTTTACTGATACAGTTAATGTCACATTCCTTGTGATTCAGACATCGTCTTTACTGTGTAATACATCTGCATAGTTTGGATTTCTGGCTGAAGGTGTCAGTAATGTGGCACCTGACATACATAGCCCCTCTGCAGTTGGAGATTTCTGGGTGTGAGGTTTAGGTTAAAGTTTAAAGATGATTCGTGAATATAATTAAAATATGGAGACATTTTATTTTCCTTTATCCTAAGTGCATGTGTAAGGATCAGTGTTCGTCTTCTCCAGCTTAAACTGATCTATACAAAAATCAATGTTTCAAATCACCAGTACAAAGAAGAGTGAAGGTTGTCTCTGTGCCTTCCCAGAGAAATTCCACACGCTTTTAACATTTTTTTAATCACTTGAAGTCTGAATTTCATTGATTTCATATTTGTTTTGCAGTGACATACTGTTCTTGTAAGCATTTTTTCCCCCTAAAGGTTTTGAAGTATGTCCTGAACTTTAATACTGATTTAATAAATCATTTCAAATATACTTTGTTCAGAAAAGCTGAAAGCCCTATTCCCTTGATAGTAGTTTACTACACTTCTTCATGCCATAATCGCATCATTTGTAAAATGGGTCTAATGGTATTAACCTCTTTTCAGAAAGCTCTTTGAAAAGTTGGATGATACTGCTTTCTCCATATAGAAATAATTAGGTGACTTTAGTAACCTTTCACTATTTTGTCTTTGAATTTGTAGATAAATCTATTTTTCTGGCCTCCACACAAATTTGGTGTAAACTTGCCCTGGAAGTGTCTGGGCTAGAGTTTAACTCTTCAGCACTGTAAGAAGTAGTGCTGATGTGTGTTATCCCCAAGGTTTGGAGTATTCTTATCCAGGGTTTTGTGTTAGACCCATCTTTAGTCTCTATGAATCCTAAACAATGACAAGAAAAATATTTTTTTCTTTCTGTTGTTGGGTAGTTTCCAGAGAAGGAGTGAAACCGTTTCTCTAAAGCAAGCACCAGCAATCATTGTTTAGTTTGGATTTTTCAGTAGTTTACAAATCCGGGTGTAATGTAAGAGATGTTATGCTAATCTAAACCCTGGACATTCCTTGGAAAAAGAAAATCACGTGACTTGATTAGACTTCTCATTTCTCTGCTGGTGCTCAGGGACTAGCAGCGTGCTGGAAAGAGGCATTTCCCAGGGAGAGAGTGACCGATGCATGCTAGCTCGCTGCCTGTGCTCACCATGGAAGCGTTCCAGTGCCAGCTGCTCACTCTTACTGGGGGTCTGATCTGTTTCAGTACTCTGCTAAAATGCGTCAGATTTATGAAATACATTTTCCCACGTATCTGGAGTGCTTTGCCTCAGACTTTCTTTCAATCGCTGGGACAATGGGCAGGTAAAGGAAACTTCCCTCACCTTCTTCTTGTAACTGCGTGATGGATTGTTACATTACTTACTGCGAGAGGTTTTCCTTGTGTTTCCTTACCCTGTCCCTTCAGAACAAAACACACTTTTCCACTGGTTTGCCTAATTTCTTGTTTTCTCCCAGTAACTTTGGTTTTATGAGCCTGAAGGTTTTGCGTACTTGGGGAGAACAGATAAATAGTCAAATTGGTAACAGCTTGTGCACCTCGTGTATAGATGTGAATTTTCTCCCTGGTCCTACTTCCGATGTTTTTTCTCTACTGCAAACGCTTGAGTTTTAATAGCATTGCCTTTATCCTCTGTTTCCTGATACGTGAAGCAACTAGTTTATGTCTAGCATATGGTCTCCGCTCTTCAAAGCATGTTTTCTTTGTTCCTGGTGACTTTGCTCCAGTCTGGTTTTTTCCAAATTGGTGACCTATCCTTAATGGTATCATTAACGAGCCAAATCTACTCTAGCCTAAAAACTTCAAAGGCTGCAACTTGGCAGTACTTTTTTAAAGATATTACACTTTCTCATAAAATAACAGAAATGTTTAATAAACACTTCCTACTGATCATTGATGTTTTTTCTTAAGCTCATTAGGTTATCAGTATTAAGCAAGAATGAACAGGTACTACAGTGTCTGAGTTCCTGGGCTACAGATGTCACCAATGGTGGCATCTTGTTAAGAAGTGGCCCAAACAAGTACTCTTGTGCTTTATTCCTTCCCCCCCGTGTTAGAGATTTGATGTGTCTGGACTGAGCACGTGTTTAATAAGCACATCTCACAGTGGATTAATAAGAAATTAAATCCACCCCTTTGCAGAAAACCTGCCTGAATACCAGCTGCTTCTGAAGCAATACATAGGTCTCATTTTGATGTGAGGCAAGGAGCTTTGTTGCATGCGTGAGGTGAGGAGCAGCGCCTGGAACTTTCTGTGTCAAATCCCTGCTTCCACTGAAGGCTGAGGGACTCATTTCTTCCAGTGGACCTTTTATGCTCTGTCCCTTTATAGACATAAAGTCTTCTGGGCCCAGTAAAATTCAGAAGGCTTGGATGGTTTGCTGTATCACATGGCACATTAGGTCCTGAGCATCACAAAAATTAAAAGTTGGGAGGTGGAAGCTTGTTTCCCAGCAGACTCTTGTTTTTCATCTGCAGGTTTGCTAGAGAGTAAAAGGTCCGCTGCTGCTTTGCAGTGGGGCCTCTTTTCTCTGCAACATGAGGGAGTAATTGCCCTTCTGTTGGCAGCGAACCTTGCCTCCCCAGTGTCTCTTGCAGTTTAGAAGTCCTTATCCCACATTTTTTAGATACTGACTGATTTTCAGTTTTGCTCTGAAAACTTACCAGTTTTACCTTGGAATTGCTTTAGTGCTTTCCTACTTTATTTCTTCTTTATTTCTAAGTTGATAAGAATTTTCTTTCTATCGTTCCTCCTTAGTATTTGTTTGTGTAACATTTAAAGTTCAGGGTGCTTTGCAAATGCCAAAGCCTGTTTACTTTCCTAGTAATACTAAATCTAAAGGTAAAATGAATTGGGCAGCTCTGAAGGAAGCATGTTTTATAGATGCCGGTAAGTTTGCTGTGACATTTCCTTCAGACCTTTAGATTTCTTGTGTGAGAAAGTATTATATCAGCTTTAGTCACCAGTTAGTCCTGATCACCTACCGTTCTGCCAGCAGCATACAAATGAAAGACTTGCAAAGCAGAACTTGTAAAAAATATGTATATGTAAGAAAATTCTACCACCTCTTAGGCAACTGGCTGGTTGCTGAGCATCTCCCTGTTGAAAATGAGAGTAATAACTACCTACTGCATCAACTAAGTTGCTGTGGGGAGGGGTTTGCTTTGAAGAGAAAATGTGCTAAATGAAGTAACAAAAAGACTAAGTCAGAAGGGAATAAATTTTTAAGAAGATTGATTCTGTGTTTAGTAGAAGCATTTGGGCTGCAACATTCAGGAAACACAGATGATGAAGATTAAAGAATTCAAGAAATATCAAACTAGAGCAGAGCTACTATTATAATCCCAATTTTTCTTTTTACTTTCTCCAGTGGTCACAGGAGCAGGAGATGGGCTTGGAAAAGCATATTCCTTTGAGGTAGGAACGATTACTTACCCTTAAATTTAACAAAGTGGCAATGGCTGCTCCATCAATCTCTGCAAGTTAGCAAAATTATTCCAGGATTCAAAACCACTGTGACAAACATGGTACTAATCCTTCTCTCTAGATGCACAGAAGAGCATTCATTAAGTTCTGAAAGAAAGCTGGTACTGCATTCCAGAGGAAAGTCATTCATGCCTCAATGGTCTCACCAGTCAAGGAAATAAAATGGAAACACTGGGTAATCCAAAAGGTTTCATGTTGTCTGTCCAGGGTAGGAATTCGCCTACCTTGTCCTTTTTTACCCAGTTTCACAGCTTATCTGCTTTTTGACTTTCAGTGGGGTGGTTCTGCATTAACACACAAAATGTAATTTTCTAGCCTTTACACTTGCAAACACATTTTTAAAGGTACATCCCAAACAACAAATAAAGGAGAAATCTTTGTAAATTAACATAAACTACAAGTTATGGAAATTATAAGGAAATCTCATGGTTCAATTAAGAATTGGAAGCTCTAGGGGCCTGCAGGAGGAGACAGAATCTTTGTGCTGACCCCGTAGCTGCTGCTGTGCAGTCACTACAGCAGCCCCTCTCTATTCACCTGTGCTAATCAATGCCGAAGGCAGGGTGGCCTTGTACCATCTTGTGCCAGCCTTGCTATTAGTGATAGTGACCAAACTGTAGATTTTTCTCTTTGGTGTCTTCATTCAAAACCGGCTCCCTTTCTAGAAGCTAAGCAGCAATGAAACATGAGTTATTGTCTTCAACCTGAGGTCACCAGGTGAAAATTAGCAGCCTGTCACATGCAAGAGTTTGGATGTGCTCATAAGTTGTAAAATGTATCTCACAGGAAAGGAAAATGAGTTTGCTTTTGAATTATTTTACAGGATGTTTAAGTTAGGCTTTTTAAGTGTATGCATTGTTTAAGCACCTACCTCATGATTTTCATTACTGGGGGAGGCAATACAATAACTACTTTGGAAAGCGCATTGAACGTAGGAAGCAAAAAGACAAATACCAACTATTATAGTTTAACATTTGGCATAGTTGTGATTAAGATGATGAGATCTCCTGTGGGAAAGAAGGGAAAATGTTGCCTTCTGTCTACGCGCTGACTCGCTGTAGTGATGAGCAAGCCTGTGAATGTCTAGATCAGAGCCTCTGTTGTTGTTTTGCTTCCTTTGTGCTCTGCTTCCTTTGTACCATACGGGTTATGCAAGAGTAAACCCCCTTTAAAAGGCCAGCTATAGCATGTGAATGGCTGCTTTACACCATGAGAAAAAATAAAACAACTCCAGTGGGTTGTGTTTTTTTAAAAAAAAAAGCGCTGAAACTGGCTAGATTTTGTGGAACATCTGTTCATTATCTTTGGCTTTTGTGGGATGACTGAAAGCCATCTTTATCCACGCTGAGGCGTACCTTCCTCTCTAGGTGGTCCCTTTGAAGTTGTCCTCAGCTACTGCTCTGTGGGGCAGATCCCAAGCCCACACCACATGAACTCATAGTTCGGCACATCATCTTGCTGCCTGAGGTCAAAGCACACACTTGTGTGTGGCTTGTGGATAAATAAATCTGACCCTGCTGTTTTAATGTCTGTGTACCTTTGGAGTTTCTGGCTCAGCACTACTATCTTGCTGGCCTGATGTCAGGGTACAACCAGGGCACAACATTCTCTGACGTTCTTCTGGTGTAGGTCCCTCTGGTGTTATGGGCTGATGTGAAGGCAAGCCTTGTTTGATGGCCACATTGTCTGCCTTCTGGAGTTTGAGCTCTGACACCAGGTGATGAATCTCTTTCTGACATCCCAAGCTCAGGCATGGGCTGATAATGAATCATAAATGAAAGTAAGCACTCCATACTTGTTGGTATTATGTGGTATAGGAGACTAAGGAGAACAGTTCTTGTGTTTTGGAAGGCTAGTGTGATGTGGCTTTCTCTGTTCGGTATTTTATGTGGAAATCCCAGTAGGTAGTTCATTGGGTAAAACCCAGCAAACTAAGGTCCAGGGAAAGACTACAATGTTTACTGCTTCAGTACCCTTGTTCTCAAGGTTTGCAGCTAAACACAGGTCTCTGCAAAGCCTATTCAGTTCAAGAGCTGGCTGGGGCTGTGTGAAGAGATGTGAGTCTCAGAATACTATTTTGTTGATGCCAGGACACAGATTTGTTAGAGCAAATTATTGTCCCTTTCGTTTTCTGAGCTTGTGTTGGGAGGCAGGCACACACACAACTTTAGTTTATCTTCTTCTGCATGGAAGTCCAGGCTTCCATGAAATCTCCTTCTGTATGTCTAGCACATCAGGGTGATTTTGAAGGACTGGCCTTCTTGATCATAAAGACCCCGACCTTTTAACTGACTGTTGCATTGTCAGAGTACTGGGATTTGGGATCTAGTTTGCTATACTCATTTGAAAAGCCAGGTTTCTGTTAGATTTGGTCCATCAGTTCTTGGGCTGATGGGGTTTAGGCTCACCAGACTTGTAACGAGGAACAAAAATAAGTCAGCTGTGAGTGTGCTGCTAGGCTGTCATGTCTCTACTCATCTGTTAGCATTTCAGGTACCAGTGCAGTCTTGTTTGTTCTGTTTTTCTTACATAATAACTACAGATGTGCTTTAGCATCTGTTACTGGCTTAGCACCTCAAACCTTCTGGATTTATGGATCGGGCCGTGCCGTGTTCTGAGACTTGTGGTTTAGCCTCTGCACACTTCTCATCTGATACCAGGGCACAAGCAGGATATTGGTGACTCACAGAGTCACCATTTTTGTTATTGTTAATATTTTATAACTCTCTTATAAGTCAGGCCAGTGCTTGTGTCTAAGTCAATGTTTCAGTGGACCATTGTGAGACAGGCACATCATTTATTAATACAACAGTTTATCAAATCTTAAATTTTTGTTTCATTTCCTGAAATTTGCATAGCATTACCAGCAATATAATACAATCTAAATATGATCTGAGTTCTCCTGCTCCAGTTGCATATGTCGTCTAATTTCTCCACTTGGTCTGGGATTTGTTCCTGGAAATACAGCTATGCTACTTGTGTTGCACAAGTGCAGGGCTAGCAGAAAGCTTGCAGAAACTTCTGCCCTGTTGTCTCAGTCCTGGTCTGAGGTTGGACCAAAAAGGGTTGAAAGATTAGAATCATAGAGACCTTACAGGTCTGACCCCCAAGTGAGGAAAGAAATGGGGTGAAACACTGAGGCCACATCAGCACAACCTTGGAGAAGAGAGAATAATCTCTTTTGTAATAGGTAGAAATTTACAGTAGGCAGCTACAGATTCCATAAAGCTTTATTAGGGATTTTAAATTATTGTATCTAATGATAGTGTAGAGGTTAACCAGTTTGTCAGTGTAACTGTAATAGTTACATTCATGGTTTGAATCCATGCATGGTTTGAATCTAAGACCCGTGTCTTGCCTTTCATGAAGCTTTATTGTTTAAAAATTCACCTCAGACTGAGCTGCAAAAATGTGCTAGAAAATGCAGAGTGATTTTATACTAATTTAATGTTGGTTTAAATTTTTTAACGAGTTTGTGAGATTCCAGGGTACAGATCCTGCTTGATCTTTCTGCAGTATTAGCCTGGTTTCTAAACGCTATGTTGTCATAATTTGTTCTGGCTGGAGTCAAGATAATGATCTTACATTTTAGCAGTCTGAGAGGTTCAGGAGCATTTTAGTCTTTTGCCACTGGGAGTCAGGATTTCCTAACATAAGCAGCTTCATGTTACACTACTGGGAGCCAGTGCTTATTCTTAACTGTGAGGGGAAATACCATACTCTAACACCAGACCCTTTTTATTTTAGGAAAATGCTTTGGGCTAAAGATGTCTACACTGAAAGTTTCCTTTATTTGAAATGTGGTAGTGTTAAAACTGATTTAACCTTTGCTGTGGATGGCCAGGAAATCCTTTTCTAAGCACAGTCCTTTTTGTTTGCCTGACGGCCCTACGAAACCCGTTTCTGAAAAGGATGCACGTTTCTGTGCGGGTAAGGAAGCAAAAAAGAGTAGTCAGGTGGGTAGCCTTATACTTCTGGTTATTCTGGTATACAGCATTAAGGGAGAACCCTCTCACCTGATGGTTAACAATTTTATAAGATTGCCACAAATGTGTGCTTTTACCTAAAATACAGTGCAATCCTAACAATAGGAATAATTTTTTACTTAGGTTTTAGGAGACACTGCTGAGATGATATTGAGAAGCCCAGTGAAGCAGGACTTAGTTTTTGTTCTGTATATGACATGGCTGATATTAGGGCTCAGGTCTGAAGGCACAAAAATTAAAATAATCCCCATCTGAACACCCCCAAAAGGCAGAAATGAGCAAGTGACCGTGGAAACGGAGGCCATGTCTCTGTTTGGAAATGGCTGGAGTCAAACTCATTGTGGACAAAGGGAAACCTGCCAGTACATGGGCAGTTAGAGTTCTCTTCCTGAGAACTTAAAATGGAGCCCTAAAATAATCTTTTGAAACTCCCGAGTATCTAAGTCTGTGCAGGTCTCTTTGGAGCACCCATCAATTGTACGAGAGGGTCTCCAAAAGCAACAGAATCGTGAGCATGGTCTTTGTGCTGCAAATGTGAATGGTTGTGGTTGGTACATTTCACAGGCAGCCTGCTCCTCGTACTCTGGATGTCGTGAATTCTTGAACAAAGGTCCTTATTCCTTAACATTCTCTGCATTGTTTCAGAAGAGCCCAACAGGACAAACTGCTTCCCTCAAATAGATTTAAGGAGAAAATGTTGCAGGGAGTCAGTTGTGGAAAGGAATGGGTCTTCAGTGCCTGGGCTTCACCAGTTAGTTTCTTTTTCTGAGCAATCCTGGTACTTTCAGATAACATCGGCTTTATCTTTTGTGCTGACTAATTTACTTTTCTTTCTCTTTGCTTTCATGGGCATTTTTCTAGTTTCAGCTTTATCTTTCCTTTCTTTATGCATGCAACTCCATTCAGCTTCTGCTTGTTAATAACTTAGTTTCACACGCTGGGGCTGTGGTTCTCTCTCAAGTTTTGTCTAAAACTCTCTAACTGATGGGACTGGGAGACCTTAAGAAAACAGGAGAAAACCGTTCTCTATTTGTTCTGCATTTGTTCTGCACGTGGTAATACCAAACTGACTATAAACAGGCTGCTGTGTTAAATAGTGTTTCCAGCTATAAACTTCAATGTTGCCAACATCTTTGTGGATGTACATTTATGTGAATGTATTTTGAATATTTATGCATGGTTTTCATCTTTTTTACTTGGTTTCTTTTTTTTTTTTTTTTAGTTTGCATCTAATGGGAAGAATGGTTAAAATTTATCCCTCTGACCTGCATGAGATTTTATTTCTGTTAAAAATAAAATGAATAAAGTTCAAATCCTTTCAAACTTTTGAGCCTTCAAATCAATATGCCTAATCTACTTCCTCAGGATAAAAAATATGTGAGGGTGGAATGTGGTGTTGTAAAATGAATTAGGAAGTCATGAACATATTTGGCCTCCCAAATCCAAGTTGAAATAAAAATGTGTTTCTGGGAAATGTCACGTTGCTTTCACTCTCTGCAGACTTTCATTCATTTGAAATTGGCTCAAATTATTTCTTTTTATTCATATTATTGGGGTTTGATTGTTGTCCAGTATATTTTTCTTGTCAGGGTCCAAGATTATACAGTAAAGGAGATGTTTTGGAAGACTGTCAAAAGCCTGAGTATTGTTTGGCCAGGTTTTAATATCTGTTGTTTTCCCATTAGGCAGGTGGCAGGTGAATGAAAGCAATTTAAAAAAAATCCATAATTGTTTTTACTGCAAAATTGGAAAGATTGTAAAGATTCTTGTCACCTTACTGTTTTCTAACAACTTTTATATTCCTCTCTTGCAGCTGGCAAAACGTGGATTAAATATAGTTATGATAAGCAGAACTCTTGAAAAACTGCAGAGAGTAGCCTCTGAAGTTGGTAAGTGTCTGTCTCAGGCTTAGCCTCCCGTTTAGCAGCCTGGCTTTACAGGCATCTGGAGGTCTATTTCCTCGGCACAGTATCTAGTTCAATAGGGCCCCAGATATTGCTCCAGATGTAGCCCCGGGTATGGCTCCAATACCACAAATAATTTTCTGTTATTACTCTGTTTCTTGAACCCTTGGTTCATGAACCTTTGAACATGCTTGGTCATGGATCACTTTAAAAATACATGCTATAGTTCAAACAGTGCAATAGGTTGGATAAAAAAAAAGTCAGTCTGTGTTCTCTACTGGCTTCAGCTGCCCTTAAAATCTGTAAACACAGGCAAAGGAGATACAATACTAGAGTTCTTGGAGCAATCTGTGAAACAGTTCATGCTTGGGATAGAAGGGTTACCTTTAGGCGAGCTCTTGGAACATAGCAGAGGAGTAAAAATGAAATCAATGTACCTTTTTTTAAGGTTTTCAAGTTACATTTGTCTTTTGATAAAGCAGTTAAATAGTCTGTCTTTAGAATTAATGTTCCCTTTCTTCAAAGGAAATTAGCCATTTACTGCAGGGAATGGCTTGTTTAAAGATGCTATAATTGACAGCTAGGACTTCTTTAGCAGTCAAATGAGTTTATATCTCCAATTAACGTTGAAGATTGTCCAGTAATCGAGGTTATTCTTCCCAATGGCTCTTTTTCTATTCATGGCTTCTATCAGCCAGATCCCTTGACTCACAGGTTCCTGTGTTAAGCATGTGTCCCTCCAGGACTACACCTCTATCAGAAAGACTTGCTTTAAGCAGGCTTGACAGCCAGCTCCAATGGGGTGTTAGGTCTGGGATCCTCCTCTGTAGAAAGAGCAGTGCATCTCTCAGGGTTGCAGCAGACTTGAAGTGGGTGAAAAAGCCTGTAACTTCTGACCCTGCACCTACTGAAATCAAGGCTTGGACTCTGAAATTTTCTGTCTGATTTCCCTCATTTTTTCTACCAATCAACTTGTTTTACCTTGGGAAACGAGGTATTGGAGGAGGAAAGCACCAACTCCCTGAGTAGTCTCTATAAGCAGCTGTATCCGTGAGACCAATGTGACTATGGCCTACACTATCCCTTCTTAAGTAAACAGCCATAAAAATTAACTTCTGTGGAAATTAGGCCAGCTCTGGTGTCATTGCATTTCTTTGCATCTAAATGTTGAACAATTAAAATCATAGAAACCTGGGGGGAAAAAGGCTTTTTATAGTTTCTTTGCATTGTAAATTATAATCAGAAGGGCAGAATGAAAACAGTAAGATTCCTGAGACTCACATAGCCAAGTAAAGAAAAAAAGTGGTGGAGCACAGAAAGATAACATACTGTAAATTCCTTTGCACTACGATTTATTATAAGGCCGTCCACAGGACCCCCTACTTAACTGAGGCCGCACTGTGCTGAGTTGTGTAGCCACACATAAAGAAGGACTTGCCCTGTCCTGAAAGGTACTGATGTGTGGAAAACAGACTCCACAATTGTAAAGTAGGTATGTTTATTCAGCGCTGGGCACCATGGGGGGGAGGGGGGGGGGAGTCCCACCAAAGTCATGCACGCTGCAACATGGCAGCTTGCCCCGTTCATATGTAGCAAAGTGTTACATACACATGAAGTTTCCCAGTATGCCTATACATAGGCATAACCTGTCCCTGCTTCGTATTAAAATTAGTTTCAAAAGGTCATTTCCATAAGTCCCTCCCAACTGCGCATGCTCAGTGATTTGAGTCTGTGGTCTTCAGGGGTCGTTTACTTCATCGTCGGAGATGTCAAGATCGGAGGCAGCCTGGGCTGCAGTGACCACGTGCTGGTGGAGCTCACGCTCCTAAGGGAAATTACAAGAACAAAGAGTATAGTCAGGACCCTAAATTTTAGAAAAGCAAACTTCCAGCTCCTCAAGGAGATAGTCAGAAGAACTCCCTGGGAAACGGTCCTCAGAGACAGGGGAACAGAGCAGAGCTGGCGGATCTTTAAGGATGTGATCCACAGAGCGCAAGAGCTCTCGATCCCTAGCTGTAAGAAATCAGGAAAAGAAGGGAAGAGACCGGCGTGGCTGAGACAAGAGATGCTGGTCAAACTAAGGAGGAAGAGGGAACTGCACAGGCAGTGGAAGCAGGGACAGGTATCCTGGGAAGAATATAGGGAAGCGGTCAGGTTGTGTAGGAATGGGGTCAGGAAGGCCAAGGCGCAGCTGGAACTGAACTTGGCTAGGGATGCGAAGAATAATAAGAAGGGTTTCTACAGGTATATCAGCCGGAAAAGGATGGTTAAAGAAAGTGTACCCCCACTGATGAGCAAGACTGGCAGGCTGGTAACAGCAGATGAGGAGAAGGCTGAGGTACTCAACGACTTTTTTGCCTCAGTCTTCACTGGCAACCTCTCTCCTCACCCCTCCCGAGTCGATGGATGGCATGAGGGGCACCGGGAGGGCAAAACCCCTCCTGCTGTAGGAGAAGACCAGGTTCGTGACCACCTGAGGAACCTGAATGCACACAAGTCCA